ACCTGGAGGAGGTGGGGGCGGTAACGGCCGAGACTCTGATGGAGCGTCCTGACGAGGAGGAGGGGGAGGAGGTGGGCCCCCTTGTCTCCCCCCGCCCCCGGGGGTCGACGGTAATGGTCTGGTAGAGCTCAAGCGATTGCTATTATTGGAAGATTTGGGGGGACCAGGAGGAGGCCCTCTTGTCTAAATAAAAATAAAAATAAAATAAAAATAATAATAACAACAAATAAAATACATGTAATCACTGTCAGGGTCAAAATAACAGCTAGTGCTCAAGGACACAAAAGAGCACCTTTTCATGTATTCTGAGCACCAGTGTTTCATTTTTGGTTCCTAATTTTTCTTAATATATATTATATGATCAAAATGAACCCACAAAATAAGAATTCGAATGTCATATCATGAATGACAAGATATTGCAAATGCTCACTATTTTATGGATGCATATGCTCACCAAATATGGGTACCTTACTGTACACCCTTAAACATTACTTAATACATATAATTAATCATTTTTCTCCTTATACTAATACTTCCAAAATGTTACTTCATGCCCAGTACACACATTGCACATTTGTGCAGCATTAAATATCCTAATAAGGTCAAAAGGGTATAGTCTCATATAACAGGTGGGCCATACACAGGAATGGTCATCACTCCATCATTACTAATAGACACTATTAGCCCCCCCCCCTACAATCCTTTACTGACCATTTGCTGCTACATATGCCCGCCATATGGTCCATACAATCCTCACCAAATGGTTCACTGGTAGTAGCAATTAGATTAATATCTCACTATAGTCTTTTAATAATATTATGGATCATACAACATGTTTGCTCGCCCTTATTAACACATGGAGAATACAATCAGTACATGTACATGTACATCTGGAGAGGGAACAGGCCCAGTGTGGATATGCATACATATAAGGAGTTAAGGACAATAGCCAATGAAATATAAGGACAAAGGCTGTTGCAATAATAAAATATGGTAGGCTGGAATATATAGGAATCATTATAATGAAATCATGATGGTCCCTAATCTCTAAACAAAACCAGACCAGTTGCAATATAAACATTATTTCTCAATACATTGCATTTCCTCCTAACGTGCCTTGTAATTTCTCTAGTATTGGATACAATAACACCAAGACACTGTCAAAACTATATTGTATGCAAAATGCCAACAATACATACACTACACTAACTACTATGATATACAAGAGATTACTAAAAGAAATATACAAGAGACTATACTAATACATGTCATATACAAGAGATTACTAATAATAAACAAGAGATTACTGACCTGTTCAGGTCCCCGAG